TTTGCGCCAAATTTGACGCTTCTGTCAGTAGATCTGCACTGTGGATGCCCGATTGATCCAAGGGGGGTTACAAGCGCGTTCGCCTGGGGGGTTATGGGCGCGCTCACCCGCTACACAAACAAGCCCTTCTATCCCAATTGTCTAAGTGGTTGGGATTTTGACATGGTGTCAGAGTGGTCTCGGGTTTGAATCCCGGTGTATGCACATGTAGGCTGTTGCCGCTGTGCTCAGTCCCGGGCCTCTCAGTGTGGGGGGGTGTCAGTAGATCTGCATTGTGGATGCCCAATTGATCCAGGGGGGGTTACAGGCGCGTTCGCCTGGGGGGTTATGGGCGCACTGACCCGCTACTTAACAAGCCCTTCTATCCCAATGGTCTAAGTGGTTGGGATTCTGACAGCTTCAGCCTGCAGAACACCACTTTTGTGATGCACAAATTTAACCGCCCGCTGGTTCGACGTTGTTGCTTTGCCAGGCTAACGGTCGCACAACTAGTGCTGTGCTGATTCAACCTCGAGAACTTGCATCAGCCAGCGCACAACACACAAATTTCGGAAATGCATTTGGCTGTGCTGGGCTTCGTAGCAACATCCACGCTGCAAATTTTGATTGGGTGCGACACGAACCTTCTAAGAAAGAATAGCCTGTATTTGTTGTGCGGTGTAAGTAAAATTCCTTTTCCTTACTTCGCGTCCCTGCTCACCGCGTACACCACTGTTCCTGCCAACAACACCCAACAGTAAACCGTTACCACTCGCGAAACTCGCCTCGACTACTGCTCCTGCCACTTTTCACGACGCGACCCAACCTCACGGTTCGGTTGGTAAACCTGCGCTCCGGACCTCCGCCTCGACAATTCCCAACCTCGGCGCTAGGCCTGTCGCGCACCCCATTTTCACGCATTACCATTACAACTGTAGCTTCGCTATATATTCTTCGCTCATGCCTTCGCTCATTGTCTTGTTTGCTTCGATAGTGCAACCCTCGCTCGCTCGCTCAATTGCACTCGTAACACTTGGTATTAAGAGCCTACGATCTCTTCTCGGACCACACCCACACCTTCGCTTCCCCACTATCTAAAAAAAAAACAAAAAAAAAATGGGGGGGGGGGGGGGGGGGGGGGGGGGGGGTAGACGTCTCTCAGCGTTCAGGCATCGCCGCTCGAAGTGCTCTCTCGAAAGCACGCATGACCACGACTGAGGCTCTCGTTGAGCTTACCCGACACCCCCGCCATGGCCGATCACACTCTTGCGACATTGACGCAAGAGCAACTCGACCGGCTCGTCTGTCAACTCGAGGATTCGGCGCTCGAAATCGCGACCCTCACGGCGGAACGTGACTCCGCTCGCCAACAATCAACGGTGAATGCACCAGCACCAACACAAGCACATGCAAATGCACCTGCGCAATCAGAGGAGCCGATTATCATTTCGTCCGGCACACCGTCACCAGACGACAGCGAGGGACAGTGCTCAAGCGTAGCCAGTGATGGCGTCGCCCAATCAATGACTGGCATGGAGAGGAACAGGGCTACAACAAGCACACAGGGGCCTCGCGAAGCCCGTCGGCACGTGGAGTTTGCCGCAACGAGTGGCAACAACGACGTCATTGCACCGATGCCACTCAAGCCGCAGCGTCCGCCCTGCTTCGATCCTAGCCAACGTGGAGGTCCGACAGTTCAATCGTAGATTTTCACGATGAACGTTTTCTTCGACGCGAATTACGTCGAGTCGGACGCAACGAAGATTCGCTATGCTGTTTCTCTGCTGAGGGGCCCCGCCATGGACTGGTGGTGAGTCATCGTAACGTCGCCACGTGCCTACGAGCCGCTGTCGCAAGAGGAAGAGCCCACGGGTCCAGCCGTCACCTGGAGCTCGTTTTGCAAAACCGCCCAGTACAGCATGTGGGATGCGTGGTGCGCGTGGCTTCGGGCGCGCTTCGAGCCGATCGCGGCTTCTATTTCAGCACGTCAGAGACTGCGTACTTGGCAACAACTTGGGTCAATCCAAGACTACACGAGCGGTTTTCTCGCACTATGCGAGCAAGTCGGCTACATGCACGAGGCGGAGCGGGTGGACCGTTACGTCGGAGGGCTAAAGCTGGACATCTCGCACGAAATCATGCTACGCGGGCTATCGAATTTTAACGAAATCCTCGCGCTCGCCGAGAAAATCGACATTTTGCGCCGTCCGAGACCGGGGTCCTACTACGGACATCACCCTCGGGGACCGACCGAGTACGCCACCGTACACGTCGTTGCGGCGAACGCAGCTGCTGTGCCATTTAGGGGGCGCTGCTTTGCTTGCGACAGGCAGGGCCATCGCAAGAGTGAATGCCCAGACGAGCTAAGACGCTGCGAAGCAAAGCAGGGAAGGGAGTCTCAGAGGCAGGGAAACACCAACAGACATTAGAAAACGGGCCAACTACTGACGAGACAACCTGCTCGCCCAACCTCACCGACCCTCACCGAGTCACAGTACCGATTCACGCCATCGATTGGGATCGGATGAATAAGGAGGGTACAGCGATGGATTGCCCAATACAGATTAACGGGAAAATACAGGGGACAGCAGTGAAGATTTTTATCAATGGAGGAGCAAGCTACAGCTTAGTTAATACCGCAACTGCACGGAAGCTGACATTGACACTTAGCCGCTGCTTACCGAAGATTGACGCACGCTTAGTTGACGGCACGCCCTGGCAATAAGGGAGAAAGTGGAGAGGGTGAAAGTTCGTTGCAGGGGGAACTTTGGGTTTACACAGGAAATGCTCGTGACGATATTGGTTGGGCACGACATTTTACTGGGACGTGATTGGCTGCAACGTTACAATCCGCGAATCGAATGAACGACGGGTAGCTGCACTGTGCGAAGTAGTGGTAACTGGGTCGAATTACCTCGCTGGCAGCCATCCGAGTCTTCAACGGTCCACGTCAACGCCATCACAATGAAACGGGCTGTCGCCGCTGGAGCTGGCGTGTACGTGGTGGATATAGCATTGGTAGGAGAAGCATAGTAGTCGACTGATTTTCAGAAACTACTGGCAGCGGTACCGCCCTAACTACAGGAATTGTTGAAACGGTACCCGAGGATTTTTCCGACAAGCTGCGCAGGCGCTTCATCGACGAGGAGCAGAACGGGCGCACCCCGAAGACGCCAGTCTCGGTCGATGCCTACGCCGAGCTGACATTCGACGACGAGGAGGCGCTGGAGCGCGAAGAGGAGGAGTACCGGCAGAAGGTTGGCTCGCTGCAGTTCGCGGCGACGACGACGAGGCCGAACATCGCGTTCGCCTGCAGCAAGCTGGGGAGCGGCCTCACGGTGAGGAGCGACCAGCATTGGCGCGAGGTTGATCGCTGCCTCGCCTACCTCGCTGAGACCCGCGACACTGCCCTGGAGTTCGGCGGTGGACCAGAGTCGCTGGAGCTTATCGACTACGTGGACGCCGACGACGCGGGCGACAAGCAGAACCGGACGAGCACGGGAGGCTACGTGTTCGCCTACAGAGGGGTCGCCATCTCCTGGTCGAGCTCGCACATCAAGTGCACGACATTGTCGTCGACAGAGTCGGAGTACGTGGCGGCCACGGATGCAGGCAAGGAGGGACGCCGACTTCGTTTCCTTCTTGCGGAATTCAAGCTACTCGACGCTGGGAAGCCGACCATCCTCCGCGTCGACAACAAGTCGGCAATCACGGTCGCTGAGGGCTTGGGGCTGACGGGCAATCTCAAGCACATGGAGCGACGCTACGCCTGGCTATAGCACATGGTGAGGCGCGGGAAGTTCGTACTGAAGTACATCCTGACCACGGAGCAGCCGGCAGACTTCCTGACGAAGGCACTGCATTTTCCGGCTTTCAACCGGTGCTCTGTCGCCATCGGCCAAGTTTGTCTGGCCGACGTCGGCGACGGCGACGATGATGTGCAGCAGTAGGTGCCGTGCCCTTTTGCACGGCTGGTGCGGTGACAGCGTGCTGTGTGTGGGGTGCATGCCGAGGACGAGTTTTCTCCGTGGAGTACTGCCATTTTGGCTGGAGGCCCAAGCGTGAGCGCGGAAGGGGAGTGTTAACGGGAGTGGAGTGTCGGCGACAATAGCTGACAGTTCTGGTCGACGGAAGGGGTCCGTTGTCAGAATATATTACATATATATTTCTGTATAACTGCATATAGTTATTGCTGTAGTGTAGTTAGTTTTTAGTCCCTGTAGGTGGTGCACCCTTTGCCATCTCTCGCTCCTATATCTTGTACCTTGCTTTCTTAGTGAAATCACTTCTTCCTTGCTTTCTCAACTCTCTCGACACTTGCCTAGCTCTCACACCCTAGATATGGCTCCTATGACTTTAACATGGTATTAGAGTAGTTACGCTCCTTGGGCCCACCACCTGCTGCCCTGCGCGCCACCCTCGTGCGGCCCCATACTCTCGACGTTCGGCACGGCCCGTCGCCCGTCGCCCCTAGGCCCTGGCCCCGTGGCCCGTCGCTCGCGCCCGTCGCCCCTTGGCCCGTCGCCCCTCGGCCCGTCGCCCCTAGGCTTGTCGCCGCGGCTCGTCGCCCCTAGGCCCGTCGCCCCCAGCCCAGCCCGTAGGCCCGTCGCTCCTAGCCCGGCCCGTCGCCCCTAGCCTCCGGCCCCCGGCTCGTCGCTCGCGCCCGCCGCCCCCAGGCCCGTCGGCCCCATTGCCCGTCGCCCCTAGTCTCCGGCCCCCGGCCCGTCGCTCGCGCCCGCCGCCCTCAGGCCCGTCGGCCCCATCGCCCGTCGCTCCCCTCGGCCCGGCCCGTCGCCCGTCGCCCCTAGGCCCGTCGGCCCCTTCGATTTTCTGCCCGATGCGCGCCCTGGCTGCGCGCCGGGGTGCGCGACGGTTTCTGCCCGATGCGCGCCCCGGCTGCGCGTCGGTTCCTGCCCGTCGCACACCCCGGGCGCGCGTCGGTTTCTCCACGCGCAGCTCATTCCCCGCCCCCGCCCCCCTCCCCCCCCTCCTCCCCCCCCCCATGGGGGTGTTGGGGGGAGTCAGGAGTGGCGGTTGGGGGTGGTTGCACCTCCAGTGCCTCGCTGCTCAGCTTCGTCACCAAGCCAGCAGCCCCCCCCCCCCCCCCCCCCCCCCCCCCCCCCCCCCCCCCTTCTTCTCCATCCCCCTGCTGCGCGTGCAGCAGTGGGGGGGAGGGGATCTGCAGCACCAGCCCCCCCCCCCTTCTCCTCCATCCCCCTGCTGCGGGTGCAGCAGTGGGGGGGAGGGGATCTGCAGCACCAGCCCCCCCCCCCTTCTCCTCCATCCCCCTGCTGCGGGTGCAGCAGTGGGGGGGAGGGGATCTGCAGCACCAGCCCCCTCCGCCTCCCCCCCCCCCTTTTCTCCTCCATCCCCATGATGCGGGTGCAGCAGTGGGGGGGGGGGGTATGGGGGTGGCAGGAAGGGATCTGCAGCACCAGCCCCCCACCGCCCCCCCCCCCCCACCCCCCCCCCCATTCTCCTCCGTCCCTCTGCTGCGGGTGCAGCAGTGGGGGGAGGGGATCTGCAGCCCTGTGCGCCCCGCGCGCCCTGCTGTCGTGCTGCCCTGCGTGCCCTGCGCGCCCTGCAGCCCTGCGCGCCCCGCGCGCCCTGCAGCCCTGTGCGCCCCGCGCGCCCTGCTGCCCTGCAGCCCTGTTCGACCCGCGCACCCTGCTGCCCTGCAGCCCTGTGCGCCCCGCGTGCCCTGCTGCCCTGCTGCCCTGTGCGCCCCGTGCGCCCTGCAGCCCTGCGCGCCCCGCGCCCCCTACTGTCCTGCTGCCCTGCGCGCCCTGCAGCCCTGCGCGCCACGCGCGCCCTGATGTCCTGCGCGTCCTGCGCGCCCTGCAGCCCTGTGCGCCCCGCGCGCCCTGCTGCCCTGCAGCCCTGTTCGCCCCGCGTGCCCTGCTGCCCTGCAGCCCTGTGCGCCCCGCGTGCCCTGCTGCCCTGCTGCCCTGTGCGCCCTGCAGCCCTGTGCGCCCCGCACGCCCTGCTGTCCTGCAGCCCTGTGCGCCCCGCGCGCCCTGCTGCCCTGCTGCCCTGTGCGCCCCGCGCGCCCTGCAGCCCTGCGCGCCCCGCGCGCCCTGCTGTCCTGCTGCCCTGCGCGCCCCGCGCGCCCTGCAGCCCTGCGCGCCACGCGCTCCCTCCTGTCCTGCGCGCCCCGCACGCCCTGCGGCCCTGTGCGCCCCGCGCGCCCTGCTGCCCTGCTGCCCTGTGCGCCCCGCGCGCCCTGCAGCACTGCGCGCCACACGCGCCCTGTTGTCCTGTGCGCCCCGCGCGCCCTTCTGCCCTGCTGCCCTGTGCGCCCCATGCGCCCTGCTGCCCTCTGCACGCGCATCTGCGGCCCCATGCACAGCCCCTACCCCGCCCCCCCCCCCTTCTCCTCCCTCTCCCTGCTGCACGTGCAGCAGTTTGGGTGGGAGGGGAGGGGAGGGGAGGGGAGGGTGTGAGGGGGAGGTTGCACCTACAGCGCCAGCCTGCCTCCTCTCTCTCCCAGCCGCACCTGCTGCTATGGGGGGGAGTGTGAAGTGGTGGGGAGGCTCAGGGGATGTGGGTGGTGGGTGGCACAACTGCCGCAAATGTTGCCACGCCTCCTCTCTCTCCTCACTGCTGCTGCTGCTGCTGTGCGGGGGGAGGTTGAGGGGGTGCTGTGAGTCCAGCTGCAGCATCAACCGCCTCCTCCTCATTTGCCCTCTCCTTCTTCCGCTGCGCAGGGTGTACCCCTTCAGGGGGTGTTCTGCACATGGCTATTCCTGCATGCAGTTAGGGGGTGTGTCATAATATTATATATATATATATATATATATTTCAGTATAACTGCATATAGTTATAGCTGTAGTGTAGTTACTGTTTTAGTTCCGGTAGGTGGTGCACCCTTTGCCATCTCTCGCTCCTATATCTTGTACCTTGCTTTCTTAGTGAAATCACTTCTTCCTTGCTTTCTCAACTCTCTCGACACTTGCCTAGCTCTCACACCCTAGCTATGGCTCCTATGACTTTAACATCCGTCGACCAGGGGGTAGCTCGCCGGGAGCTGTGGTCGACCAGTGGCACCTGGTAGTCGACCAGAGGGACGCGGTGGTCGACCAGAGGCACTTGGTGGTCGACCAGAGCACCTGGGGTTGTCCAAGTCGACCGGGTAACCTGCTCGACGAGTTCTGCGGAGGCACGCGAACGTCGTCGAGGTCACGATGGCGAGGGCAATTTTGGGTTGGTATCCCGAAGTCGATGTGGCTCGTCAGGCGCAGACAACAGCCGACGGATGCACAACGGTGCAAGTCGGGCCAATCGTCTGCGCGCACTTGCGAGCGTGCGCATTGCTGTCTTCTACGGGGCAATGCTGGACAGCCGCTCTGCTGCAGCGTTGGCACACCGTCGACCTGCTGTGTTGGCAGGTCGCCTTTCTGCAGTGTTGGCGTGGCTCCTCTACGCAACGCTGGCAGGCGGTCGACCATGCTGTGCTGTCGGTCGACCAGGCTAGCTGCAGAGTTGCTAGGTGCCTGATGTAGTCATTGTTGTCATTGCTTGTTCAACAATTATGCAATTTCGACTTTGTTAGCGGAAACTCTTGCCGATTTCTCCTGTGATTGTGCAAGCACTAAGGAACTAGGCAAAGCTACGATCACTCCTAGTAGTTCGTGCCAACCCCCGTAGTCTAGCTCACTACCGTTGTAGAGTAAATCTCAGCAGCCAATACTACTTGTAGAGTGACACCTTGCAATACAGTTTTAGGGAAAGTATGCCACTCGTAATCAACAAGGGTCTCGATAATATGTTTGGCAACAAAATAACGGGCACGGTCACTGCGAAGGGTGTTTTCACGACGTTTCACGGAATCAGTCACAATCAACTGGGAAAAAATAGCATGAATGGTCACAGATGAAACTCCCACCCAAAAAAAATAATACCCAAAACGAACCTGGATGCATTTTCGGATGAATCAACCCTAAACACAGCTCGCCAGGTGTTTAGGGTTGATCAGTTCTCAAACTGCATCCGATTCCGATTGGGTTTTAGCTTTTTTTAGAAGTTAGCTGATTGGTTGTTGCGAGCGGGAATTTTGTAGAGTTTCAAGAAGTTTTGGCGGGAATTACATTTGTGACCATTCTCGTGATTTTTTACCTGTTGTTAGTGACTGAATCCGTGACCCCACTTACCAAGCCCATCAGCAAACCCGATACAGTGACCGTACACGTTACTTTTACCATTCACGTTATCGAGTCCCATGTTGGTTACTTGTGACATATTTTCCCTACGGCGTGTGCACAGGTCACGGGAAATTAGTTACCACAAGCCCTGCGAACCTCTATTTTTTCGCCTCGCATTCCATGAGCGACTCGGTTGGCCTTCCAGTTTGCGGCGCGTTCCCTAGCATCAGTGGCTGTTTGGCAAGGGCTGGAAAGCGGTTTCGGGAAGCTGTCGTGACGGGTTGTTTGAGTTGGATCACCATCGGATCTGAAACATCGACGGTAGTGCGTGCTTTACACTGTAACGAAAGCGAACGCAGACGCCATTTCGGCAGGTACGGATGACCTGCCTCGCGTTTTCCGTGCGCGGGACAGCCTTCCCTCGTTCCCCTTGCTGCGTGACATGCTTGACCACCTGAAGCAGCTGTTTGCTTCCCTCTTTTTGGCGCCTCCGCCAAAATCCCCTCATTCCAGTTCTCACTTGCGTTGCGCTCAAATTCCCTCCCCACCCACCACTTCTGTTCGCGCCACCGTTGCGCGATTCCTTGTTGTCATCATGTCCTTTCCGCCACCACCAGAAATGCCACCACACGAAATACTTTACTCATGGCCGCTGCTTTTGGTTGACACACACAGACCCGCCTAGCGTCTAGGCAAGCCACGCGCCAACCGCCAAGGGTAGGAGGAGCAGTGTAGTAGAAGCATCGGCGTTAGTTTTCTCGTTGCGCTGGCGATCGTTCGAAGTCGTCCGACTAGAATGACGATGACCCGAAGGTGAAACGGAGTCTTGCACTCGGCGCCGCTATTGAGCAATGCTTTCGCGGCGCAGTTGTGGAAAGAGACGCGTAACGGTAACAGAACATACTTAACCAGTAGCGTAGGACATCCCTCGAGGGAATACCGGTGCTTAGCAACGCAGCGCGCGAGCGCGATAGGCCACGATGATGACGGCGGCGGAGCTGGCGGCGTCCGGGTGGGCGGACAACGGGTCGCTGGGCTGGCCGCTGCAGGTCGTGCCGCGCGATGTGCGCGACGACTTGGATGTCCTCGCGAGCATGGAGAAGCAGCAACGGTGAGTGGCGACGTGTTGTTGCAGGTGGTTTTTGAGTTGAGAATTCTAAAAAACCACGTGCCTCGCGATGCGCGCGACGACTTAGAGCATGGAGAATCAGCACTGGTGAGCGGCGACGAACTACGCCAAATGGGGAAACGGGAGGAGCGATCAAAGCACGTAATCCCATTCGCGCCGATTGCCGTGCCTTTTTTTTTTTTTTTGTAATTCTTGCAATCGCTCCCCCGTCCCCACGTCTTCACGTGCCGACGTCCCGACGTTTCAACATTCCCACGCCTCCCCCTCTCCACCCCTTCCGCCCCCTGTCCCCCTCCCTGCCCCCACGCGACCTCCTTCATGCGTGCAGAGGTCTTCACGTAAAGACCACTCGCAGCGCCATCCCGATTCACGCGCCCGTGCAGCCCGCCACACCGCGCACTCCGCGCACTCCCCTCGCGCCGTCCCCGCGGGACTCATTTCAGTCACCTCCGATGGTACCCCGCCACCACAGCGGCCCGATAGAGCCATCCTCGTTACAGTCACCCATTTATTGTCACACACCGCAGCAGCTGAAGCGGGACCCGTTAGAACGACACATGTCAGACGAGCCTACAGCCTCCCCCCGCCCCAGCTCCGCCAACTCCCCCCGGACAAGCGCGTCGGGGGGAATCTCGGGACTGCTCGCAGGCCTGTACGTTCGGACGCCTGTTGCCGAGGCCGATGCCGAGGCTCGGGGCAGGTCAGGGTCCCGTTCTCCGCTTCGGCTGCGCATGTTCGAGACTTCCCCAAAGCCGCGGAGACCCATTGAGCGCGGGAGATCGCTCTCCCCGTACAGAGGCCCGCGGATGGGCGCGGAAGCCGACGAGGATCGGGCGATGGGCAGGGGCGGGAGCGTGCGCGGAAGCATGCGCGGAAGTTTGCGCGGGAGCGGGGTGTGGGATGGGGCGGGCGCGGGAAGCTCGTCCGCAAGAGGCAGCCGCACGGGTTCCGTTTCCCCGCTCCCCTCCCGCTCCCCCTTGCGCCGGTCGATCTCCCCTCTGCGCGCCAGCGCTGGCGGGTTAATCGACATGCTATCCGGCCCCGTCACTCCCTCCGCCACGCCCTCCCGCCGCTTCCAGGCACAGCAGGAGCGCGAGTGGGACGAGCGCCAGCAGCGGCGGGAGCAGGAGCAGGCGGAGGCGGGGGGTTTGCCGTTTGAGAGCATCGTCGCGGGCGCGAGAGACAGGCGCGCGCGGCAGCACGCGCGCAGCAGCAGCAGCAGCAGCGTTCTCTGCGGCGCCAGCGGCGGCGGATTCAGCGGCGTGGGAGGGGCAGCTGTGGCGGATTCGGGGGAGATTTCCGTAATCTCCGAGGGTTTCGGCCAGGACCAGCAGACGCAGCAAGGACAGGGAAAATCATCGGCGCCGCGGGCGAGTCCGCAAGATGCGGCGTGGAATCCGCAGGTCTCGGACGCGAGCCCGTGGGGCGGGCGCGGCGCGACGCCCTCCGAGCCGTCGAACACCGTGGATCACTTGCCCTCGTTAGAAGCACTCTCGCGCTCGCCCAGGCGCGGCCGCGAGGGTTATAACAACGGAGGCGAGGAGAGCAGTAGCGAGGACGAGGAGAGGTTCTACAAGGTTCCGGATATCACGGAGTACAGGAACAGGCGGCGGCAGAGCGCGGGGAGTGCGGCGTCACCGGCGAGTAAAATCACGCACGAGTATTTCCGTGGCGGCGGAGTTGACGTCTCCTTTGCGGACTTTCTAGCTGCGCGCGCCAGCGCTGCTGCCGCTGCTGGTGCTGGTGGCGGCGCGAATGCTGGTGCTGCTGCTGGTGCTGTTGCCAGTGGCGATGGTGGTGGTGGTGATGGTTCCAATTCCGCGGCAGTTACTAGCGCGAATGAGGCTGATGCAGGCGGGGATGCAGCTGGTAGTGGCGTGGCGGGAGATTGGCCCACTGATACTTACCTGGCAACTGGCGCTGACGTGGCAACGGCCGACTGTGAGGCGGCCTCAGCTGGAGGGGAAGCGGGAAGAACAGTTGAGGGGGGTGATGAAAGCAACGACTTCTATGGTTCCGATGCTGCTGGGGATGGTGGTGCGCCGTCAATTGCGGCTGGAGCTGCGGCGGCGGTTGCGGTGGGCGCAGTGGCGGCCCGCGGGATGGCGGCCGGGGAGACGGCGGGAGCGGATGACGGGGACGCGCGGGAAAGTACGCGGAAGCGCGGGGGAGGGCTTGGCGGAAGCTCGCGGAAGCACCGGGCGCGATGGGGATTGGCGGGAGGGAGGGATGGGGACGGAGAGGATGGCGCGGGACAGGCGGAAGAAGGCAAGGCGGAGTCGAGGCGGAGTCTGCGTGCACAGTGGAGCGCGCGGAGGTCAAGGCGCGGGAAGGGGGGAGCGCATGACGGAAACGAGCGGGGGAAGGGGGCGGCAGGGGGCACGCGGGAGGACCAAGGGGGCTTGGAGGGTTCCGCCATAGGGGGAGATCAGGATATGGCGGGGGAGGAGGCGGAGGGGCGGAGGAGACAGGTCAACGAAGGGCAGGGGGAGAATGAATGGGGGGCTGCGGAGGTTGGGGGCCGAGGGGAATGGTCAGGGGGCGCAGAAGGGTATGGGACAGGGGATGAGGGGGAAGAGGGGGTTAGGGAAAGAGGAGGGGAGATGGAAGGGTGGGAAGAGAGGGGGGCCTATGAGGACGAGCAGGGAAGGGCACATGGAGAGTGGGGAGAAAATGACATGGGTGAGGGTGGGTATGAAGATGATGGGGATGATGGGGAAGATGTGGGAGATGACATGGCGGAGTGTGGGCAGGATCTGGCGCGGTCTGGGCATGGCATGGCGCGGTGGCAGGAGCAGGAGCAGCAGGAGCAGGAGGGGGAAGAGCAGGAGGAGCAGGAGGAGGAGGGAAGTGCTACACGGGTGGTGTCAGGGAAGCGGAAGCGAGAGCAGGGAGTGGCGGAGGGGGAGGGGGAAGGTGAGAACGAGAGGGGAAGGGGAAAGGGGGAGCCCAGAGAGGAGGGTGTGAGGGACGAGGGTGAGGAAACAGGGCGTGGGTACGCGTATGGCGCAGGGCGGGGAGAGTATGGTGGAACGGGGGAGTATGGAACGAGGGGGCAGTATGGGGCGAGTGGGGAGGACGATATGGTGACGATGGGCATGTCAGCAGAATGGGATGGGGGCATGGCTGCTGCTGCAGCTCTTATGGCCTCTGGAGGTGCATCGCTGGACGGCACTGCATCAGTCTACACAGCCTCTGCTGCCAGTGCTGCTGCATCTCCGCTACAAGCCTCTCCATTACAAGCCTCTCCGTTACAAGGCTCCTCTCCCTCTCCAAGCAGCACTGCTGCATTTGCCGACCTGTCTTCAACAATGCCACCAGTGTTCCTCCCGCCTCCTGCTATCCAGCAACCCGCACCACCACTCCCAACCGGCCCCCACCAAATCGACGACTGTGACTGCGAGGAGGACCCTCTACCACTCACCTCTCTCCTCCGCGTCCACCACCCCCACCTGCTTCCCCCTGCTGCTTCTGCTGCTGCTGCTGCGCCCTACGCCCCTGCGCCCCCGCGCCCTCTCACACACGGGTTGTGGCGCAGAAACCACTCCGCCCTCACCACTGCCGCCCTCTCCTCCGCTGCTGCCGCTGCTGCTGCCTCTGCCGCTAACGCCTCTGCTGCTCCGGATGCGCTGCTGCCTGTCCCTCGCTCCGTACTAAGCCGCACCATCCGCCCTCCCTTTGCCTATGCCGCTGCTGCTGCTCCTGCTGCCACCCACCCGCCTCCTCCTGCTGCTGATACCGACCCAGCTGTTGCTTCAGGTGCTGGCGGTGAGGGAACGGAACCAGTTGCTACCGTTGCCTTCGCTGCAGCTCCCAACACCGTACAGCCACCATTGAAAACAACAGCTGCTGACACCCCTGCTTCAGAGAAAACTACAAGGCTCACCGCGTTAGAGGATTTTCAAGACTCACCTCACAAGCAAGCATCTGTAGAGCTGACTCAAGATCGCACCCCTGTGCCATCAACAGGGGAGCATTTTGACACCTCCCAGAATGCGCCTGCTGCATCTGTAGAGGCGGATACAAGCACAGACGCTGCCATTCCTCCACCTGACTTCTCTACAGTCACACCTCAGCAGCCCAGCGTAGCTTCGGTGCTCCCCATCCTGGTTGCCTACGCCTCCCGACCCGGAGCCTTGGGCCGAGCCTCCATGCTCTACCGCATGCGCAGCGCAGGCATTGCTGCCATGCACGCTTCTTCGGCCAACCACGACGCGACAGCTGGCGAGGGGATGGAGGCAGGGGCGGTGGCACAGGCGCTGGAACGATTGGGGGAGTATGGGGAAGGTGGGGGAGGGGGGATGGGGGGAGGGGGAGGGGGAAGGGGGTTGGGAGAAGCAGGGGATCATGAGATGTGGGAGTATAGCGAGGAGGATGCGAACGCAGCGGCAGCAGAGGCGTTATCAGTGTTTGGGTTTCCTTTTTCTCTTGAGGGCTTTGCTCTGGGTGGTGGTGGGGAGGAGGAGGAAACGGTGGAGGGGGAAGGAACGGCTGAAGCGGGAGGAGGAAAGGATGCAGTCGGTTTACCTGTGCTACAGCCGGGAGAGGTATATTCCATTGGAGGTGTATTTGATGTGGAGGGGAGCCAGGGGGAGGCTGCAACTGGTGACGGTTCTGCTGGCTCTGCTGGTTCTGCTGGTGTGGCTAGCGCTGCTGCTAGTGCTGCTGCTGGTGCTGCCGGTGCTGATGGTGATGCTACTCCAGGCGAATTCGGTGACAGTGCGAGTGTGACTGTGAACGGGGCTCAGTTCTCCTTCCACACGGGCAGCGACGGCAGAAGTTCCAGCCATGCTGACGTGGCAGTGGGTCCGGGTGACGAGGACGGTGAGCTGGATGAGGTGGCAGTGGAGGCGAGTCTACGTCAGCTTGAGCTGGCACTGGAGCAAGGGCTGTTACCAGATGAGGTGGAGGCATTGAGAAGAGAGCTGGAAGCGCTGGTGGAGAGAGGGACACGGCGGGCGCGGAGAGGAAGAGGGGAAGAGGGTGGGGAGGAGAGTGGGGAGGCGGACAGGAGGCCTGTGGTTGGGGCGGGAGAAGTGGAGGGTTTAGGGGAGGGGGGTGTGATGAGGAGAGAGGTGGAGAGGGAAATGGGGGTGGGGGAAGAAGAGGGTGGAGACGAGATGGGAGAGGGTGGTGAGGGGGATGGGGTTGAGGTGGAGAGAGAGGGGAGTGGAGGTGAGCGGGGAGAGGAAGGGGAGAGTGAGGAGGGGGAGGGGGGATTTGGAATGGAGATGGAGAGGGATGTGACTCCGTACCATGAAATGGAGGGGGGCAGGGAGGGCAGGGATATGGGCAGGGAGGGTGGGGAGGTGGAGAGGGAGCGAGAAGGTGAGGTGGAGAGGGATGTTACTCCATACCATGAGTTGGAGGGGGACAGAGAGGGCAAGGAGGGAGAGATGGAGGCAGAGAGGGAGAGAGAAGAGGAGGAGGAGGTGGGAGTAGGGGAGACGGAAGGGGAGTCGGAGAGGGAGGGAGAAAGGGAGACGGAGAGGAAGGGAGAAAGGGAGACGGAGAGGGAGGGAGAAGAGGAGATGGAGAGGGAGGAGGTGAGAGCAGGCGGTGAGTATGGTGGATATGGTGGGGATGACAGGGAAGGTGCGGAAGGGTTGCAGAGTGTGAAGGGAACGGCTGGTGAGATGGATGAGGGGGTTGAAATGGGTGGGGAGGGTGAGGAGGTGGGTGAGGAGGCTGAGGTGGGGGTTGGTGAGCAGGCTCAGGAGGCTGGAGGTGAGGAGGTGGGGTGCGGTGAGGAGGAGTGCAAGGATGTCGAAGGTGAGAGCGCGGGAATAGAGGCGACCACCCACAAGCCTTGCTTGCCAGCCCAGCTCATTCCCGCACTCGCCAAGCCGCCTCTCCCACCGTCCCTCTCTGCCCACGTGGACGCGCTCTCTGCTGACCTGGACTCTGAGTCAGCAGCGGCTGTAGCGACGGCTGCAGCAGCGGTGTCAGCAGAGGTGGAGGAGATGGGCGGCGGCTGTAGCACCAGCTGTAGCACAGCCAGCAGCCCAAGCCGCCTAGGTCTGGGTCTCATGGGGGGCATGAGCATGAGCAGCACGGGCAGTGGCGGGGGGGTGCTGGGCGGAGGGATGGGAATGGGAAGCAGCCCTTTGAGTGTTACCGGTGGCGGGGACAGGGGCGGCAGTGGTGGTGGTGGTGGAGGAGGAGGAGCAGCGGGAGCAGCGGGAGAGGAAGGAGTCAGTACAGGGGCAACTGGGTCACAAGCACAGGGGCAGAGCGGGGGTGGGGGAGCGGGAAGCGGAGGCGGAGGCGGAGGGGGGGAGAGGGCGCTGTACACGGTGGGGCACTGGCTGAGGCAGGTGGAGATGGCGGAGGCGGAAGGGCGCCTGCACGTGGCTCTGCGCCTCTTTGAACTCGCCGAGCGCTGCCACGCCCAGCCCGCCACTCTGCTGCGCGTTGCTCGCTCCCAGTTCATGAGGCGACATCGTCACTCCCTCTCCCTCTCCGCTGCTACTGCTTCTGCTGGTGCTGGCGGTGCTGCTGCTGCTAGTGGTGCTGGTGGTGGTGCTGGTGGTGGGAATGGGGCTTTTGGTGCTGTTTCTGCTGGGGCGTCACCACTGCTTTCCCCGACTGCATCACCGCTTCACACCGCCTTCCACCGCCCGTCATCCTCCCCTCCTCGCTCCCCCCTCCCGCTCCCATCCGCCAACCCCACATTCTCCCCCCTCTCCTCCCCTCCTCGCTCCCCCCTCCCGCTCCCATCCGCCAACCCCTCATTCTCCCCCCTCTCCTCCCCTCCTCGCTCCCCTTCCCCACTACTTCCGCCCCCTTCCCTCTCCGTCGTCCCCCTGCCCGCACCCCCGTCCCTCTCCCCCTTCCCCACGCCCCCGCCCCCCTCCCTCTCCGCGTTCCACTGGCGGCAGCAGCCCACAGCAGGGGGCAGCGAGCGGGGCACAGCAGGGGCAGGCGGGCAGGCAGGCGGAAACGCCTCTAGCCTAGCCTCCTCTCCCCCGCACTCGCCCCTCGCTGCCACCACCCCCGGCTCCTCCCCGCGCTCCTCCTTCTCCCTCTCCCCTGCTGACGCCCTCCCAGCACTGCCCGAATCGTTTGGGTTGCGTAGGGGTGGTGTGGGCAGGCGGTTGGTGTTTGAGAGTAGGGGAGAAGGGAGGCGTGAGGAGGAAGAGGAGAGAGGAGGGGTGTGTGAGGGAGAGGGGGAGGTAGGTTCGTCTGCAGCCTCGAGTGTTGTCGGGAACCAGTTGGGGCGTGAGAGTGAAGGGGAAGGGAGGCGAGCAGGGGAGAGAGGAGAGGAGGGGCAGAGGGAGGAGGACGTAGGCGCTTTTGCAGCTGGTGCTGCTGGGGATGATAGCAGTGGCAGCAGTAGTTGTGATGACGATGGTGGTGATGATGGGAGGAGAGAGGAGGGAGAGGGTTTGAGTATGCAGGGCGATGGAGCGAAGGGAGAGGAGACGAGGGAGAATGGAGAGGGATGGAGACGGGAGGAGGTGCAAACGAGGGAAGACGGAGGAGTGGAGAAGGGTGAGGGGAGTGTTGGGAGCGGTGTAGAGAGTGCAGGTGTGGAGATGACTCAGACGAGGGGAGGAGAAAGGAGGGAGGGCTGGGAGGAGCAGGAGAGGGGCTGGGAAGAGCAGGAGAGGGGCTGGGAGCGTGCTGACCGGGTACAGGCATGGGCGCATGAGAACCTCCCTGGCCCGGCGCCAGAAGAAAACAGGAGCGGCAAGTCCCGAACCGGAGGCAGTGGCTCGTTCTCAGGCTCGGAAGCAGGCTTGGAGTTTCCACAGGGTAGTGGTGGGAACAGTGGCAGGGGAAGCAAGGGCAGTGGGAGGAGACACGGAGCCTTGGGCGATCAGGCAAAGTGGGGAGTGAGAGAGGCGCGGGGCAGTGAGGCTGCTGCTGCTGCTGCTGCTGCTGCTGCTAGTGCTCGTGGCGCTGGCGTTAGTTCAAGTGGCTCTGACAGCAGTGCTACTGGTTTTAGTGCTGGCGCTTTGGGTGGGGTTGAGGCAAGCAGAGTGCAAGACGAGTCGAATGGGAGGATCACAGAGGAGCGAGAGGAAGAGCTGGATGTACCAACGAAGGGTGGTGAGGGCGAGGAGGAAAGAGTGGAAGCGGGTGAGAGAACAGCGGAGAAGGAGCAAAACGGAGAGCGAAAGATAGAAGGAAAGACGTGGGAGACTGAAGGGGACAGCGATGAACCCATACCAGGTCAAGCCACAGCCGCAGCAGCGACACCAGCAGCAGCAACAGAAGCAGCAACAGCAGCGGCGGTGGCAGGGAAAAGGGTGGCGGTGAGAGAGGGGAGTGTGCTGGCGAAGCTGAAGCGTGCCACTGCACAGCTGAGGCAGCTCAGGGAGAACTACCTGGGGGAGGGCCAACCTGGGGAGGCTCAACTGAAAGATGATCAATATGATCAACAGGGGAAGGCTCAACTGAGGGAGGGTGCAGGTGAGGGTGCCACAGCAGCGGGAACAGAACTGGCTTCAGTGCAAACACGAGCAGCAGCAGGGCCACCTGCCATGCCTGCACGGCCTTCCATCCAGTCGTCCATCCCCCTCTCCGCCTCTGCCTCCGCTGCTGCTGCGTCTGCCGCGGCTCGCCTTGCTGCTCGCACCAGCAGCGCCAGCGGCACCAACGCCAACCCTCTGGAGGCAAGAACCTTTGCTGCAGGAGGAGCAGGGGCAGGAGTAACACTCCCATCAGCAGGGATAATAAAGCCCTTGGCCCCTGCCATTGCTGCTTCCCAGGGAGGAGGCACCTCACTGCCAGGCAGTACTGCACCTTCTCTTGGCAGCACAGAAACTCTGGCAAGGATCTCAATCCCAGGCCTCACCGGGTCAGCACCAGGTCAAGGCTTGTTGAACAGGACAGGGCCCGTTCCAATGCCGGTCTCAGGACTGCATTCAGGGCCGGTTTCACCAGGAGCGAACGCTCCTGCGTCTCCCTTTGCCCGTGCGTCCTCCTCCTTCTCCCTCGGCCGCATCCCCTCCTCCGATTCTCTTCCTACTGATCCTACCTTCTCCGTCTACGTACGGCGGTCCGGCTCGGCCCGAACCTCGGTGTCAGCTGCAGAGACCGAGCCTAGCGAAGGGGTGGTGGAGGGAGGGATGGATGGGGGGATGGAGGGAGGGATGGGAGGAGGGGGGGTTGCTGGGGATGGGGGAGAGGCGGATGCTGAGAGCAGGGAGAGGGGATTTGGAGGTGGAAGGGTGAGCAGAACAGAAGAGGAGGAAGGGAGGGGAGCGAGGGAACCTGGGTCCAGAGGGGATGAGAGACCGGTGCAAGCGGAGAGAAGTCAGCCTCTTTCGTCCTCTGCTGTTGCTGCTGCTGATAACAATGCTGATGCTGGTTCTGATGATGGTGATGATGGTGATGATGCTGATGATGCGGATTATATTGCTGATACCGGTGCCAATGAGCCAACAAGAGATCCACTTTCGATCCGATCATTGACTTCTGCAGCAGCAGCTGCTGCCGCTGCACCTCCTCCTCTTGCCGTTTCATCACCACAACACACCCTCGCCTCCCTTGCCTCCCTCACCTCCCTCTCCTCCTCCCCCGCGTTCATCCCTCCTCTCTCCCTCGATGCCACTCCTGCCAGCAGTGTGTTTTCTGACTCTGACGCTTCCCTTCTCGCCAGACCCAGTCCTGTCCCTGCTACTGCCGAAATTACTCCTGCTTCCCCTGCCACAGCTCATGCAGCTGGTGGTGCGAGCGGTGTGGGTGGTGGTGGTGGTGCGAGTGGTGGTGTTGGCATCGGTGCCGGCAAGCCCCGCTCTCCCCCTCTCTCTTCCACCTCTTCTTGCCCCTTCTCGCTCTCGACCCCCTCCCGTGCCTTCAGAGCAGTGGCAGCACAAGGCGGCCAGAGAGAGAGCACACATGCACACGCAGCCGCACAACCAGCACAAGTCACGCCAGTCGTAACAAATACAGGCGCCAGAGCAGCGCAAGCAGCAACAGCACCAGTCACGCCACAGGCACCAGCAGCTGCGGCTGCTGCTGCAGCTGAACCAGCAGCCATGGCAGTAAAACACGCCCCCACTCGTGTCGTATCTGCTACAATATCAACTAAAGCAAGTGCAGGTGGAAGGGCAGGTGCGGCTGCACCAACAGCTAATGCTGCTGCAGCTGCTGCAGGTGTAAGGGCAGTGAGCCCAGCAAGGCAGGCCCCTCGATCACCTCCCTTCGGCTCCTCCTCGCCCCGCTCCACCTCCCCCAAGCCCTCCTCCACCGCTCCTCACTCCTCCCCAGTTAGGACACGGACGCCCCTCTACCATGCTCCCCATTCCCCTCCCACTCGCCCCCGATCTCCTATTGCCTCCCGCTCTCCTCCTCCCTCTGCTCGCTCTCCTCCCCTCTCTGCTCACTCTCCTCCCCTCTCTGCCCGCTCTCCCCCTCTCTCTGCCCGCTCTCCTCCCCTCTCTGCTCGCTCTCCTCCCTCTGCTCGCTCTCCTCCCCTCTCTGCTCGCTCTCCCCAGCGCCAGCCACAGCAACAGCAGACGCAGCAGCAGCAGCAGCAGCAGCAGCAGCAGCAGCAGCGGCAGCAGCAGCAGCAGCAGCAGCAGCAGCAGCAGCAGCAGCAGCAGCAGCAGCAGCAGCAGCAGCAGCAGCAGCAGCAGCAGCAGCAGCAGCAGCAGCAGCAGCAGCAGCAGCAGCAGCAGCAGCAGCAGCAGCAGCAGCAGCAGCAGCAGGGTGGCACGAGGCAAGCTGACAGTATGGCTGGACCTGAACCAGTCCGGACCATTCATGACTCTTCTGCTGAGGCAGGTGCATCTGAGGCAGGTGTATCTGAGGCCACATGTGGGGTCGCATATGGGGTAGGCATGCATGAGGTTGGCACATCTGGGGGAGGTGTATCTGGGGGAGGCGCAGGTGCAGGTGCGGTGAAGCGATCGTGGGGTGGGTGGACCAAGGGGTCCTCTGGTCAACAGATGAGTCAACTGGAGTCAATGGCGGAAGGGATGGGTCAATCGGAGTCAAGGAATGGAGAGGCGATTCAACCCAAGTCAACATACCGAGCGACGAGTCAACTCCAGTCAACGGAGGGAGAAACGAGTCAACCCAACCCATTATATGAGGAGACGAGTCAATTCGAGTCAACACATGGAGATACGAGTCAACCCGAGTCAACGGAGATGGAGACAAGTCAACCAAAGTCAGGAGCAGTGCAGCAGGGGGGTGGGATCAGGAGGTATGGGGGGATAGGGAGAAACGGAGGTGGTGGTGTTGGTCGGTGTGGCGGAGTCGGGAGGTTCTCAGCCTCCTCTGCCACCCCTTCGGAGTCCTTCCTCATCCGCCCCCCTTCCCTGGACCCCAAGGATACTATGCATACCCATATGCACACCCATATGCACACCCACATGCATGCACCACACACACCACACACACCACACACACCACGCACACCCCGCACACCACCTGCACTCGGCTCTCCCCGTTCCTCGCACCCCCTCTCCCCTCGCACCCCGCTGCGAAACCTCTCCCCCTCTTCCTCTCATCGCTCTCCACCAATGGGATCGCGCCACGTGGAGTCGCGGTACATGGCATCTGCCATGGCAGCAGCAGCGCCGCCCGCATCGCCCGCCATAGCCATGGCCATGGGCGGCAGTCCAAGGGCGTACACCCACTCCATGCGCGGAGCGGGCGGCATGGGCGGCACAGGCAGCCCATCAGACAGCACCCAGAGCTCTCTGCTGCTCCGAACCAGTGGCAGCTGCGGCAGCGGTGGCTTCGCCCTGCCTGCTGCTGCTGGCAGTGCTAGTGGTACAGGCAGTGGGGGTGGCGAGAGGAGGGGGAGGAGCAGGGAGCAGCAGATGGCGGCGATGGTGGAGAAGTGGCCTACGAGCCTGAGAGGCAGTGGTTCTGCTGCGGGTGTGGTGGGGCGAGTAGGGGAGACACATAGGAGTGCAGGTGCCAGGGCACGGCCTGCCTGGGGCAGTGGGGGTGGGGCGAAGCCGGCTTGGGGCAGTGGTCCTGGGGCCAGGAGGTGAGGGATGGTGAGAGGAAAGCGGAGAGGGGCGGAGTGGAGAGGAGACGAGTGGAGAGGAGACGAGTGGAGAGGAGAGGAAGAGGAGAGGTGAGGAGGGGCGAGGCGAAGCGAGGTGAGTATGGCCTGCTCTCCAATCAGAGGCTGTGCAGGGACAATTTTCGACAAATGAAAGCAGGGAGGTGTGAAATTGGACTTTCCAGATTTTTAACTAGGACGGTTAGATTGTTGAAATACTGCGAGCCAGGCTTGTGCAGTGGCTGCTACTTATCACCTGAACACTGTTTGAAATGAGTGGAGAGGGAAGGGGCGGAAAGGTTGCATTTGACTTGCCTGTTAATCGGTGTGTGTGTTGCTTTCTAGTTTGCAGACACCAATGCTTGCATTGCATGTACACTGCCTTTGTTTCCTAACATGAAAGTAAATACATTTAGATATCTCCTGTACACTTGGCCGATACAACTTACGAACCCTCAGCTCCATTGTAAGCCATCTTAAGAAGCATGCACAACGGAATGATTGAACTAGGGAAGCAAGGGATACAAAAAGCAACCCTAAAAGTATTGTACTCCCTAGAGTGCTACTCGCTGTAGCCTAAGGACTCACGCCCCCATAGGCTAAGTGAGGGGCATCAAAGCAAGCAGGGTGAACAAACGGTCACAAGACCAGTCAATGCAAGAAGCAAAGCAAGCTCAGGGTGGATTTCAAGGACACCACACAAATTCCGAGCACAAGCAAGCGACCACAAGGTCAGTTCAAGAGTTCACTAGTATATATATAGCAAAGCACAACAAGCAGGGCAAACAGCAAGTCTACAGCAACCGAGGGCCTACCTCAACAAGCCCCAACTGCACACAGGCGCCAAGGCCTTGGTGAAGACGTCGGCAGTGTTGGTCTTTGAAGCCACAAAGTCCAAGCATGCCTGGCCGCGTCATTGCAACTCTCGTAGGAGGAAGCACCTGTCAAAGTTACAAACGAGAATGGATGAACTATGAAATAGTTGGGTACAAGTACTAACCCTAATTGGGTTGTACCTACAGCCTACACAAATGTATAAGCTATAATGTTCTGACACACCCCCATAGGCAAAGTGGGGGAGAACAAGTGGTCACAAGACCAGTCAAGAAAAGCAAAGCAAGCTCAGGGTGGATCACAAAGTCACCACACAGTCCGAGCACAAGCAAAGGACCACAAGGCCAGTTCACATGCAGAGTTATATAAAGAGAACAAACAATACAGTGATCATACCCTAGCAAGTGCAAGCATGCAAGTATATATATATATCACAGTACAAGCAGAGTCAAGCAGTCAGCAAGTGAGGCAAAGTAGGCACAAGGCCTAACACAGTAGCAAAACGCTGATGATCACCAGGCGGAAGTGCCTTGGTGAAGACATCAGCAGTGTTGGCCCGAGTGGCCACTTACGCAAGACGAAGCTGGCCACGCTGCTGCAACTCTCGAGCAAGGAAGTATCGTAGAGCGATGTGCTTTGTTCTGTGCTCCAGTCTGTGCTCCTGACACAAGGCAATCATGGCCTTGTTGTCTACGTACAGAACTGGAGGCGAACAAGGCTGCTCTCCCAAGTCGGTCAGCAAGTAGGTGAGCCAGCGTAGCTCCTGAGCAGCCATGGCCCCGGCGTAGATCTCAGCCTCACAACTGGAGCTGAGAACCGAAGACGAGCGGGTAGACCGCCAAGAAACAGAGCCGGAACCAAGGCTGAAGGTGTAACCCTGTGACGACCGCTGCGTAGCTGAGTCGTCAACCCAGGAGGCGTCTGCGTGACCAGTGAGAACAACTGGACCCCGTCCTCCAAGCACAAGCCCCATACCCGACGTACTGCACAGGTAACGCATTACCCTCTTCGCAGCATCTCAGTGGAACCTTTCGGTGCCTACCGGGAGCCACGTAGCGAGCCAGAAGGCTGAGAGGGTACGCGAGGTCAGGTCGTGTGCACGTCATCAGGTACATGAGGCAACCCACAAGCTCTGGGTACGGACCACTCGGCTCTACGGACTCGTCCGAAGGTGGAGCTGAGAGCGAGTGGCTGGTAGACAGAGGAGTGGGCTGTGGCGAGGAGAACTGGAAGCCGAAGCGCTGAAGGACCTGGTGCACTATGTGTGACTGAGTCAGTGTGATGGTGCGCCGTGCTCTGTCCCGGGTGATCTGCAGGCCAAGATAGCTACGCAGTTCACCCAGGTCAGTGCAGGTGTGTCTCTTCTGCAGCTCCGACTTCACAAGGGTCCGTGTTTCTGTGTCAGCAGTGGCAAAGACGAGGTCGTCGACGTACACGAGGACGTAGAACGGCGGCAGGGACGTGTCGGTGCGTAGAAACAGCGACGGGTCCGTAGTAGAAGGAGCAAACCCAAGAGCCGCAAGTGTAGTCCTCAGTGTGTCGTGCCACTCGCGAGGCGCCTGGCAGAGACCGTAGACTGGCCGGCGGAGGCTCCACTGGGTACCTGCAGGAAACGTCCCAGTGAAACCAGGTGGTCGGCGCAGCCAGATCTCCTCGTGCAGGCTGCCCTGCAGGAAAGATGTGCTGAAGTCCAGAGAGTGCAACTCGTAGTCACGCTGAGCAGCTACGTGCAGCAACACCCGAAGAGTAGTCATCTTCGGGGTGGGGGAGAAGGTCTGGAAGTAGTCAACTCCCTGTCGCTGACTGAAGCCTCGAGCAACGTAACGCGCCTTGAAGGCAGGCGGTGAACCCGTCGGCCGTTTCACCCTGAAAATCCACATGCCATCGACTATGTTCGCCCGAGACGGGGGAACTTCATCGACGTAGGTGCCTGTGGACTTCCAGGATGCCATCTCGGCATCCATGGCTGCCTGCCACTGAGAGGATTAAGGACCTGTAATCGCCTCTGCGTAAGAGCGCGGGGTCGGGATGTCTGGTGCATCCGGGTCTCCCTCAAGGGCAAGCAGCATGGAAGCGAAACGAGGTACAGCAGCTGCAAGACACTCAAAGTCCTCCTGCCTGTCCTCAAGGACGTCCGTGCCAAGAGCACACTCACCCCCGACGGACGGAGGACTGGCAGACACAGACTCAGCAACTAGAACAGTGGCGTAGTCTAGACGGCAAGCAGCAGCAAAGTCAAGTAGCTCAGCAACAAGAGCAGACGCAGCAGCAGACTCAAACGAAGGGTCAGTGACAGCACTGGCGAGGAGATGAGAGACAGTGGGACTGGCAGCATGATCGCGGTCAGACGCAGGATCAGGGACCTCAGGAAGAGAGGACTCAGGAGGAGCAGGCAGAGGAACACGCAGTGGAACAGAGGAAGGACGGAGTGCCATAGCGTGCGTGCCGGGGACAGGAGGAGGACGCAAACGAGGAGCGCAACGAGCAGTGCAAACAGGCGAGACAGGACAAGACGCAGGCTCACGACGCTCTGTAAGACCGTCGGACTGCTCAGTGTAAGGAGAGGGAGCAGGCAGTGGGGAGGCTGGCTGTAACGGCGGCTGCAACTGGTCAGGCGGTGGACACAGGAAGGGAGGAGGAAGACCAGTAGAAGATGGGACACCAAGAACCTGCTGAAGCAGGGGAACGGAGTATGGTCGCGGCCGCACAGTGCCTCCAGCACCTCCAGCGCCAGGGTCAACAGCTCCAGCTCCTGCAGGTCTAGCGCCTCCGGCGCCAGTGCCTCCAACTCCAGCTCCGGCAGCTCCAGCGCCTCCTGCGCCAGGGCCTCCAACTCCAGCTCCTCCAGCTCCAGCGCCTCCCGCGCCAGCTGCTCCAGGCTCCGTAGGATCTCCAGCTCCAGCACACCCAACACCTCCAGTCCTGGCAACTCCAGCACCACTGGTACGAGCACCTCCAGGACCAGTAGCCGCAGCACCTCCAGTACCGCCAGCTCCAGCAGGAACAGCAGCACCTCCAGCTTTAGTGTCTCCAGCGCCTCCAGCTCTGGGAGCTCCACTCCGATGGTGTGCGCGCCGAGCAAGCCACTCACGCAGCTGCTGCGAAGACAGTCGCGGCGAAGCACCAGTAGGACCTCCAGACGAAGCAGCACCCCGAGGCTCAGCACCCCCAGACTCCGCACCCTCCGACTCAGCACCCCCAGGCTCAACACCCTTAGGCTCAGCACCCCCAGGCTCTGCCCCTCCCCCACCTCCACCGCTGCCTCCACCACCGCTCCCACTGCCACCTCCACCACCACCGCTGCCACCTCCACCACCCCGGCCACCCTTGCCCTTGCTGCTGCGGCGCTTTGCACTAGTCGAAGCAGCACCGACGTCCTCAGTAACAGAGACGTCTGTAGCAGCAGCAGAGGCAAAGGAGGGGGGAAGGGGGGAGGGGGAGCACCCCTCAAAGAAGGGCGGGCGCGGAGTGCCACGAGCAGCACCTACATCAACTGCACTAGTCTCAGCTGCGAGGAGATGCTGCTCGAGGAGGTCAATAGTGAGGGAGGTGGGGTCAAGGGAGAGAAAGTGGTCCCTGACAGAGCGAAGAGAGTCAGGGAGGCGAGAGACTATGAAGAAGAGGGTGATGAATATGGGGGGCTGGTTCGTGGCAAGGAACTCAGCAGGGACGGTAGCGCGGTAGCAAGCGACGCTAGTGCGCAGGTGGGTAACCAGGTCCGCTACGGTGGCAAAAGTCGACAGCTCAGGGAACAGGTAGGGCAGTAGCAGTCTGCCTAGAGCGGCAGTGGCAGGGGAGGAGTAGCGAGCAACGACAACGTCGTACAGGGCCTGTGCTGTCCTGTGCTGTCCAAAGTGAGTACATTCGGCCACCGGCAGGTGGTTGCGAATGGCTAAGCAGGCAGTAGCGTCACGAGACAGCCACTGGGAACGAGTCCCACCGTCAGCTGTGGCGGGAGGGGCTGGATCGACACCGGACACGTGGTCAAACAGTGAGACACTGTCCTTAATATCGCTCAGTAGGTACAGTTGCAGATCGTCGTGCCACGTGTCAAATGCAACCGGTCTGCCCTCATGATCGAACGCTAGAACTCTAAGCAAAGCCATAGTGGCGCAACACTCAGGAGCAGCAGTAGCAGCAGTAGCAGCAGGA